TTTTCTAATTTGTTGAGATAGTGAATTGATTGGTTTTTGTTAAATGTGAGCCAAAATCATCACAATTAAAAGAACCAAAGACTTAAACTACTTCAGTCTGTGTGCATTGAATTTATTTAATACACGAGTTTCACAATTTGAGTTGAATTACTGAAATAAATGAACTTTTCCATGACATTCTAATTTATTGAGATGCACCTGTACATATAAAACAGGAAAGAGTGTTTTTAGAGATTATAAATGACATTTTAGTCACCCTTCACTAGTTTAAATGGTTCTGTGTTGTGACAAAATAATTTTTAAAAGCAAAATTTAAATTTAACAAATTTTTAAATAAAGTTTGTTACTGTTTATTATATTTTACTTTATTTATTTGTACATTTTATTCTATATAACAGTTTTTATATTATATTATATTTGATTGTGTTAGATTAATTTGTATAAATGATTGTATATTACTGTTTATATATTGTATTTTTTATATTAATTTACTGCATGTTACTGATTATAGTTTATATGATATTGTTATATTAAATTAGATTGTATTAGATTAATCTGTAGAATTTATTGTATATTACTGTTTATATATTTTATGTTTTTTATGTTATTAATCCAATAAAACAAATTCATACGAATGGATAGTGTGTTTTTATATGTTATGAATGCCATTTTCACTAGATAAGTTTTAGTAATTTTACTAGTACTTCAACAAATATTTTTATTTCATGCAACATTTCTAATTTTTAAGATTTTTTACATTTAGGTTTTTCAGCTAATATTTATATTTTATTTTATTTCAGCTTTATTTCATTAACAAAAATATGCTTAATAGATAATAATCTTAATTAGCTAACAATAAAACTGTTTGGGTTTAGAGTTAGGAGACGGAAAATATTAACAGATCTGCATTAAAAAAAGAAGAAGTAAAAAACAATAGAACTTAAAATAAAAAAGTTTTACTTTAAGTTGACGTACTAAAATCACTAAAACTTATTTTATTTCAGTTTTTTACATTTATTTTTTTTCATCTAATATTTGTATTGTATTTCACTTCAGCTTTACTTCAATTAACAAAAATGATTTTTTTTAGGTTTAGTTTAAGCTAACAATAACATTGCATGGGTTCAGGGTTAGGAGATCTAATATCATTAGATCAGCATAAAAATAATAGCATGTCAGAAAAACACATGTGTGCAAGTGTACCAGAAAATATCATTAGATCAGCATAAAAATAATAGCATGTCAGAAAAACACATGTGTGCAAGTGTACAAGCGCTCACTGCAGTAAATGCGGCTGAACACACAGTCTGTGCACAGACTCCACCGCCACGGCTCTCAGCCACTGCGGCTTCTCTCCATCCAGAAACTTCACCAGCAGAGACAGGAAGATCTCACACTCCGTCACCTACAACACACACACACACACACACTGAGAGCTGTGGATGCAGAAATCAGCATCTGCAGTGCTGGATATCTGAAAATGTTTTCCAGCACAGAAGTGCACCACAAACAAATCCAACACACCGATATATCAACATCAATGCAATGAGATGCATTAAACTATAGATATTAAATGAGCTAACAGAATTTTCTTGGTCTTTTGAAAAATATTCACTGCTCTGAGCTCATTAAGATGTGGCTGCCTACATTTTGTTATGACTTTAAGATAGTCTATGCATCTGTGCACTGTTTTTGTATGTATTCGATGTCTCTGCTCGTGTGTCGACATGTTTGTGTTCCAGATGGGTGTGGCCTCTGTTAACCAGCGGGAGGTGGTGATTGGTGATGGTGACACCCTACCCAGATATAAGGACCGCCCCAAACACTCATCTGGTGCCTTTGAGCCTCGTTGACTTCATACCGTTGTGTTGCGCTAACGTTCTGATTAACTGTTTCTTGCTATTGTTTGTATCGCCGTCGTTTGTTGTAGGGTTGTGAAAAAGTGTCGTACCGGAGAGAGAGATATTCTGAGTGGATTGAATCTGTTTAGTGTTTATTATTGTAAGATCAAATTCTAAAACCCCGGTTTATCTGAACATTGCTTGTCTTGACTACGATTTGGATTCTGATTCTGCTGTGTGTACGCCCGGAAACTTTGTAAATAACGTTGTAAATATTCTTGTAAATACTAGTTTGCCAAATTAAGGGACGTAGGGGGTTAGACGCCATTTTATTTAGGTATCTTTTTTTCACTTTGTTTTTGGTTGAGGGAGGTAGGGAAGTTGGTCTGTATTTTGTTTTTATTTCCGTTTGAGGTTATTTAGTTGTCAAAGAAAAGTCTGTTTTGTTTATTGTTTTGGCCTTGTCTGCCCCTGAAGAGACTCCCGTTTAAAGCAAATAAAATTGTGTATTTGGCATCTCTCTGGTGTGAATTCAAATCCTTTTTCTGTTACGGCTAACCCCTAGAGGTCGTAACACAATACTGTGATTTTAAAGCGTTATAAAAAAAATGAGAAAAATCTTTCCTTAAATAGCGGGAAAAAGCCTAATAACTAAACATACAAAAAAAGAGGTCCTGTAAATTGCAAAACAGCTTCAATTCAAAGCATGAGTAAATGGACAATGATCAGAGAAATTATGAACAGATAAAGTGCAGGAATTAGTAATGAACTACACTAAAGATTAGTCCATGCATGGCAGAGAATTCCAGAAGAACTGTCTCGGATTGTATTTAAAACCTTCCCCCGAGCATAAAGCACTAAAAGTGGGCCATTTCACAACCAACAGAGAACCATTTCTCACATATGCATATATAAAGGTTGATTGCATGTCAAGCCAACATTGCATTTGCCAAACTGCAGATATACAGGCTTGCTTTCTCTCGTGCATACATTATACTGGCATGTTTTACCATCTCATGCACGACAATTTAATATGCAAACATATCTAACTATGTGACGGTAGTTTAAACACGGAAGATGTTCTTGGTTTTCTTCATATGCCGTAAGCGGTTCTGCGTTTGCCATTAGCGCAGTATATTTTAGACATGTTCTAGGGTTTTGGGGTCAGTTTATATACTTCCAAATCCAGGGAGGCCCTCACGAACGACAGGACCCAGAAAGGGTGTGATGCAACCGGGATTGAACTGGATTAACCCACCAGAGCCACGAGTCTTGCCAGAAATTTACAGGAACATTTGGGTCTCATGTGCTTGTATTAGACGCATTCACCTGCATGTAGTGCTAGTATTGCTCATGAAACTATCGATTTAACCTTCAATTAGATTAATGTTTTAACAATAAACCGTGAATATTCTGAGAAACTGAGTAAGGGTACTAGGGAGCGAACTAAACCATCGCGCATGCGCACTATTTGGCAGCAGGCGTTCCGTTCCCTGCGGAGCGAAGCGCACTATTTGGCAACCCAGCCCTGGCCGTGTCCATTCAGCTGCGCGACGTGCCACAGACGCCGCGGCGCGAATAAAGCGTCGTATGATGATACGAACGGCTTTGAGGGGAAAACAACGATTTAAAATGCTCTTACCAGCCGGATACTCTACGTGGGTTAAGGATATCGACCGCCATCGAAGTGGTGCCGAGCACTACACACACACACACACACACTGAGAGCTGTGGATGCAGAAATCAGCATCTGCAGTGCTGGATATCTGAAAATGTTTTCCAGCACAGAAGTGCACCACAAACAAATCCAACACACCGATATATCAACATTAATGCAATGAGATGCATTAAACTATAGATATTAAATGAGCTAACAGAATTTTCTTGGTCTTTTGAAAAATATTCACTGCTCTGAGCTCATTAAGATGTGGCTGCCTACATTTTGTTATGACCTTAAGATAGTCTATGCATCTGTGCACTGTTTTTGTATGTATTCGATGTCTCCGCTCGTGTGTCGACATGTTTGTGTTCCAGATGGGTGTGGCCTCTGTTAACCAGCGGGAGGTGGTGATTGGTGATGGTGACACCCTACCCAGATATAAGGACCGCCCCAAACACTCATCTGGTGCCTTTGAGCCTCGTTGACTTCATACCGTTGTGTTGCACTAACGGTCTGATTAACTGTTTCTTGCTATTGTTTGTATCGCCGTCGTTTGTTGTAGGGTTGTGAAAAAGTGTCGTACCGGAGAGAGAGATATTCTGAGTGGATTGAATCTGTTTAGTGTTTATTATTGTAAGATCAAATTCTAAAACCCCGGTTTATCTGAACATTGCTTGTCTTGACTACGATTTGGATTCTGATTCTGCTGTGTGTACGCCCGGAAACTTTGTAAATAACGTTGTAAATATTCTTGTAAATACTAGTTTGCCAAATTAAGGGACGTAGGGGGTTAGACGCCATTTTATTTAGGTATCTTTTTTTCACTTTGTTTTTGGTTGAGGGAGGTAGGGAAGTTGGTCTGTATTTTGTTTTTATTTCCGTTTGAGGTTATTTAGTTGTCAAAGAAAAGTCTGTTTTGTTTATTGTTTTGGCCTTGTCTGCCCCTGAAGAGACTCCCGTTTAAAGCAAATAAAATTGTGTATTTGGCATCTCTCTGGTGTGAATTCAAATCCTTTTTCTGTTACGGCTAACCCCTAGAGGTCGTAACACAATACTGTGATTTTAAAGCGTTATAAAAAAAATGAGAAAAATCTTTCCTTAAATAGCGGGAAAAAGCCTAATAACTAAACATACAAAAAAAGAGGTCCTGTAAATTGCAAAACAGCTTCAATTCAAAGCATGAGTAAATGGACAATGATCAGAGAAATTATGAACAGATAAAGTGCAGGAATTAGTAATGAACTACACTAAAGATTAGTCCATGCATGGCAGAGAATTCCAGAAGAACTGTCTCGGATTGTATTTAAAACCTTCCCCCGAGCATAAAGCACTAAAAGTGGGCCATTTCACAACCAACAGAGAACCATTTCTCACATATGCATATATAAAGGTTGATTGCATGTCAAGCCAACATTGCATTTGCCAAACTGCAGATATACAGGCTTGCTTTCTCTCGTGCATACATTATACTGGCATGTTTTACCATCTCATGCACGACAATTTAATATGCAAACATATCTAACTATGTGACGGTAGTTTAAACACGGAAGATGTTCTTGGTTTTCTTCATATGCCGTAAGCGGTTCTGCGTTTGCCATTAGCGCAGTATATTTTAGACATGTTCTAGGGTTTTGGGGTCAGTTTATATACTTCCAAATCCAGGGAGGCCCTCACGAACGACAGGACCCAGAAAGGGTGTGATGCAACCGGGATTGAACTGGATTAACCCACCAGAGCCACGAGTCTTGCCAGAAATTTACAGGAACATTTGGGTCTCATGTGCTTGTATTAGACGCATTCACCTGCATGTAGTGCTAGTATTGCTCATGAAACTATCGATTTAACCTTCAATTAGATTAATGTTTTAACAATAAACCGTGAATATTCTGAGAAACTGAGTAAGGGTACTGTCGTTTGGTTGTGAAAAAGTGTCGTACCGGAGAGAGAGATATTCTGAGTGGATTGAATCTGTTTAGTGTTTATTATTGTAAGATCAAATTCTAAAACCCCGGTTTATCTGAACATTGCTTGTCTTGACTACGATTTGGATTCTGATTCTGCTGTGTGTACGCCCGGAAACTTTGTAAATAACTTTGTAAATTCTTGTAAATACTAGTTTGCCAAATTTAGGGACGTAGGGGGTTAGACGCCATTTTATTTATATGTATCTTTTCTTTACTTTGTTTTTGGTTGAGGGAGGTTGATCTGTATTTTGTTTTTATTTCCGTTTGAGGTTATTTAGTTGTCAAAGAAAAGTCTGTTTTGTTTATTGTTTTGGCCTTGTCTGCCCCTGAAGATACTCCCGTTTAAAGAAAATAAAATTGTTTATTTGGCATCTCTCTGGTGTGAACTCAAATCCTTTTTCTGTTACGGCTTACCCCTAGAGGTCGTAACAATTTACATAACACCTTTTTAATATTCAGCAGCCCATCCTGATGAACATTATGCATCATAACAAAGGTCATTTACATATTTAAAAAGCAACTTTTAGGCAAAACATCCCAGGTGAACAGGGTAAAAAAATAATCTAATAGATATCACCTTACTTCCCCAGTTGATTGATTGCATTAGGAATTGCAAACATTTTTATTTTTTGCATTAGGTTTTCTGAAATGTTATATTTAAATATGGAAATGATGCATTAAATATGCACTAATTTGCATGTATTTCCAGAACATAAATCTCAAATGGACTATCAATCCATAATCCTTCAGAAAAGTAAAATCAGGTGAATGATATATGAAAAAATCCACTCTATAAAAGTATATATTATATACTAGAGGTCGACCGATAGTGGATTTTGCCGATACCGATAGCTAGGTTGGACCACACTGGCCGATACGATTAATTAACCGATAGTTTTAAAATTGATACTGAACAAAAACTAAAATAATGCTTTATTAACAAAAACTGTACTTAACCATACTAGTAGTAGTAAAAAAAAAAAATATTAATAATAGTAACAGTAAATGTTGAAATTAACACACTCTAACAAGGAACAATACTTGCACAGCTTTCATTAATCTTAATGCTACAAATGGACTCTTATTTTAAAGTGTTACCATTTCATTTCAACTGTCATGCTTAAAGATGCACTTATATACCCCTCTATAAAAGTATATATAGAGTATATATAGGAATAAAACTGTATGTAAGTGCTGCTGAAGTGGAGAAACAAACTCATTTTGAGAAAACGACCTATGATATATACTGTAATTGAAATCTACAGACGCAAGGCGCAATACAATTTTAAGGGTTTTCTTTCCACTAGTCTGAAGCAAGACATTTTAAAAAGCCAAATGCATGACCAGTGCATGAAAAAAAACAGCTGTCTGTTTATTTGCAAATATCAAAGAGGAAGTGGAAAATGGTCATTATGAGTAAAACAATGACATTTTTGGTGCAAGAAACCTTCACTAGCATTATGAGTGGACTTCAGGTAATTTCTATGAGGCACTGGAGCATGAGTGTGCGTCTCACCAGGAGGCTGTAGAAGTGTTTGATGAGAACCGAGACGACCCGCAGCAGTCTCATGCAGATGGGGAAGTAGGGTTTCTCCACGGGCGCCGGAGACGACGCGCTGCTACTGCTGCCCTGACGGAACTTGATGTTGGGAGAGAACAGTTTGATGACCAGCGGACACACGCGCTCCTTCAGCAGGAAACTGAACTCCTGATGCTACACAGAGACAGGGAGAAAGGTTAGAGGGCCATCGGAAGCTGGGAACGAGTCATTTCCTCTTGTTTATTTCGTCTTTCCATCCGTCTTTCAGGAGTGTTCGTTTTCGTCGGGATGTGTGGGGATTACCTGCAGGAAAACTTCAGGAAAGTCGTTTAAAACAGATTCCAGCAGCTCCAGGCCGAACGTCCGGGTCATCTCGGTCATTCCCACCAACCAGTAGGGGGCGTCAGCGTTCACCAGCTGACACAAATCCTGCAGAACGGCACATTTATATGTACAGAAAGCTAAAAAAAATAGTCAATATTTACTTTCAACTTCATATGTGTATATATATATTAGGGCTAGGTTTTGACACAAATTTCACGATTTGATCTGATTCTCATTCACAAACTTGCGATTCGATTCGATTACCGATTATTTTGGATATATATCAGGTACAGTACATACCAAATTTTCTCAAGGAAAAAAAAAATCTCTCAACTAATGCTGTAAAATATACACGAGAGTCAGTTGGTGCTACATTACTATAATATTGAAGGTTAAAATTGACTGATTTGTTAAAATTACACTTAATGAAGTTTTTAAATTATAAAGTTACAATTACATAATATTTCTACTTCAATTCGTGAATAACGATAATGCTCAATAAACATAATGGTGGCTGTCATAAAAACTTGATGGATTTATTCAAACAAATGAAACATTGAAGAACAGTAAACCGTATAATGAATATGTTATATGGTGCATATATTTAGCAAAATGCCCCTCTCTACAGTTTATTTTTCTATCTGACTAATGAGTTTATGGTCACCGAATTTGTTTTTCTGAGGTAAATGTGACGCCCACCAATTTGCGCATGTAGTGTAAATAACGAGAGGCAAACGCAGGGCTACACAGAAACCAAACGATAAAGATGCTCCGAAGACAACAAGACGCTGGGCAGTGCCAAGCTGTGGAAAAACACAGTCTTTGCATCGCCTTCCTTCTGATCCCAACATTAGGAAAGATTTTTTTAATTCTAATTTTAGAATTAATATTCATTTGATATAATTTAATTTCTATTAATATATTAATTACAATATTTCATGTTAAAGTTATTGCCAACAATCTACAGTCAAACAAACTTATTAAACATGTTACTTGTGAAAGATGTTTTTATGGTTATTATTACAAATAAATGTAATTATTTATTGAACACTGATATTTTTTTATCATACAGCTGTTATCACCATTTTATAAAAGCAGTAAGCTACATACATTTTATATGAATTAATAATTATTATGCACTTTATATTATTTATTTTAAATTCATTAACGAATATTAATTATTATATATCATTACATCAAAAGTTGCCAACAACCTACAGTCAAACTTGTAAATTATATTATTTAAGAAATAACTTTTTTATTGTTATTATTATTACAAACTTATGAACTATGTTACTTGTGAAAGACGTTTTTATGGTTATTATTATTTATTGAAAATAGTTTTTTTTATTCATAGAGCTCTTTTCACCATTTTATAAAAACAATCATCTATATTAATTAATTATCACTTTATATGGTTTATTTTATATTAATTAATGAACATTAATGTATTAATTATAATTAGTGCTGTCAAACGATTAATCGCATCCAAAATAAGTTTTTGTCCACATAATATATATGTGTGCGTACTGTGTATATTTATTATGTATATATAAATACACACACATGCATGTAAATATTTAATAAAAATATATGTTTATATATTAAATATATTTATATATAATATAAATTAGATGAATATAAATATATACATGTAAATATTTTCAAAATATATACTGTATGTGTGTGTATTTATATATACATAATATATACAGTATGCACACATATATATTATGTGAACAAAAACTTTTATTTTGGATGCGATTAATCGCGATTAATCATTTGACAGCACGAATTATAATAATTATAATATATAATTTCATTAAAAGTTGCCAACAACCTACAGTCAATCTTATAAACTATATTACTTAAGAAATAACTTTTTATTATAGTTATTATTATTACCAAGCAAATGCAATTATTTATTTAACATGTTGATTGTTGATTGATTTTTTATTTAAATTGTACAGCTGTGGTCACCGTTCATGAGGGTTCAGGGTTTTTAGCGACTCAACTACGGTAAAATCACTGTATAGTATAGTATATATTTATTTAACGCCATGTCAGCATCAAAGGCTATTGTCATGGCAAAAACTATTTAAAAAATACAAGTATAACAAATACAATAAAAACCAGCAAACAAACACAAGTTATATCACACAAGATGTTTTACATTAACGTGATAAAAATTCTAAAACTTTGTAAAATCACTGTAAGACATATCTTAGATTTTTAGCTTGAATGATCGACTGCGATAGAAAGAACTTGACGGTAACGCATTACAAGTAACGCGAGTCACGTAATCAGATTACTTTTTTTCAAGTAACTAGTAAAGTAATGCATTACTTTTTAATTTACAAGAGAATATCTGAGTTACTTTTTCAGATAAGTAACACAAGTTGCTTTTTTTTCCAATGTATTGACTGACAGCTCTCCTGTCCCCATGTTGAGAGAAATCAGAAGATGTTACTGTAGTTCTAAAATAAATATGAATATGCATTAGCGGAAACACAGAACGATGGCCTGAGATGAAGCACAAAAGCAACAGGATGACGATTGTGAGGGGTTTTGGTTACTCTATTTGAATAAAATACTGTATATTTGTGACCCTGGAGCACAAAACCAGTCATAAGGGTCCATTTTTTGAAATTGAGATTTATGCATCATCTGAAAGCTGAATTAATAAGCTTTCCATTGATGTATGGTTTGTTAATATTTGGCTGAGATACAACTATTTGAAAATCTGGAATCTGAGGGTGCAAAAAAATCTAAATATTGAGAAAATCATCTTTAAAGTTGTCCAAATGAAGTTTTTAGCAATGCATATTACTAATCAAAAATTAAGTTTTGATATATTTACGGTAGGAAATTTACAAAATATCTTCATGGAACATGATCTTTACTTAATATCCTAATGATTTTTGGCATAAAAGAAAAATCTATAATTTTGACCCATACAATGTATTGTTGGCTATTGCTACAAATATACCCCAGCGACTTAAGACTGCTTTTGTGCTGCAGGGTCACATTTATGTCCTTAAAAAACAAAATTCAACTGTGTAGAAGGATCAAAGGTATTTGTTTGTGCAGGACTTTCCTTCTGACATTCATTTACAGGGCTCTACATAGAATTAAACAGGCTACTGCGCCTCTGAAATTTCAATATGTAAATCAGGATTTCCTCAGCTTTTGAATTTCTATATTTTTCCATGAGCTTTCCCATCATTTCAGATTAATAGACAGGGATTTTTAAAATCCTTTTAAGAGATAAAACATAAAAGCATCATTATAAAGCGGAGAGTTCCGGTCCTTGATTCTGATTGGCTGAGCCGCGTTCGAAGCTGTTGTAAATGACTCTACAAAGTAACATACACCTTTGTTTACGTTTGTCTGTTGCTCGGCAACCACTTTGTTGCAACCACAACTGAGGAGCTACATTGTTTGGTGGAAGAATACTGTTTTTATTAATATCATTACACTTTATTTGCTCTGTTTTATTTTGTGAAACCTAACTACGTATATGGAATAACCGTTTTATAAAAGTAATAAGCCTCGTGAAGCTGTGGTTTACAGTGAATTTATAACAGCTTCACGTCATGCCTAACAACACCCCTTAGCTGTTATAAATTCACTGTAAACCACGGCTTCACGAGGCTTATTGCTTTAACTTATTTAAAATTTAAAAACATTTAGAGCTGAGAATACTATAAATATTTATATTCGCTATATAAACTTTGCTATATGATTTTGTAAGATTTTTATTCATTTCCATGATTTTTCCAAACCTGGAAATCACATTTTTTAACATTATCCATGACTGTGGTAAATGTTGTATAATCCAACATTGAAATTTTAGTAGATAATTATTTTTTAAAGTTAATAAAAAAACAACAACTGATAAATAGCTGATGTTTTGTTGTACTTTATAAAGAAAAAATTAAATACAGTAAAAAAGCTTAAATTGTTTATATTCAACAATATGCTACAATAATTCGAAAGGAACATTAAATAGAGCTGTTTTACTTTAAGAAATAAAAATAAAAAGTAAAAATAAATAAAACAGTTAATTGTGAGAGAAAGTTTAAATTAAGAAAATAGTTATGTTATATTAACTGAGATATAAAGTTACAAATTCTAAAACATTTTGAGATAAAAATATTACAATTACAGATATTTTTTTATAAATTCAGAAATGTCCTCCATTAAAATTATAGTTTTATTTTATTAAATATTATATATATATATTTTTTTTTTTATATATTCAAAACACGGATATTGGCTATAGATAAGGATTTTTATAATTTATTAAAAAGTTACAAATTATGAAAAATAAAAATAAAATTGGAATTCTGAAATAAAAAGTCACAATTACAGAATTTTTTTATTTGATAAATACAGAAAAGTCTTCCATTAAAATTATATTTTTATTATATTAAATATTATATATTCAAAAATATATAATCAAAGCACTGGTATTGGCTATAGATATAGATAAGGATTTTTTATAATTTATTAAAAAGTTACAAATTATGAAAAATAAAAATAAAATTGGAATTCTGAATTAAAAAGTCACAATTACAGTTTTTTTCTTTTCTTTTTCTTGTTTTTACTTAAAAACAGGCTTGGAAACATCAATAAAAAATATTACTACATATTTTTTTATTATATTAAATATCATATTATAAAAATGTATAATTATAATCAAAACCCTGATATCGACTGACAACCAAAAAATTATGCCACAACAAAAAATACATAATTTCCTCTTGATTTATGAACAAAATATTACATGTTTTCATGAGATTCTTGAAAACAAATCTTGTTTTCCACAAAACGAGCCCTTTATAACCAGCCGTTGAGTGTGTGATGGCTCAGTTTGATTGCCATCAGCGTGCCGTACCTTGGACAGAACTTCATCGTGTACGATGGTGTTAGTGGTGAGCAGCACCAGAACCGTCTGCAGCAGTTTGAGCTCCTCCAGTCCGTTCTCCATCAGCTGCCACAGCATGTTAATGATGTTCCCAGCCGCCGCCTGCAAGCACACTCATTAACTCATCTAAACGAGCCATTGATCCGTCGATCTCACCGCCGAGACTCTAATGTCATTGCTGTGACAGAGCAGCGTGTTCATAACCCTCATAATAAGTACAGTGATTGTCTCAGCTGGGGCTCTGATACACAGAACGCTCTATATTGTTGATTTATGTGCTAATGCTTTAACTGGATACACAGCTGAGCTTCCTGGTTGAATTGCTTAGGTGTGTGAGTGTGTGTGTGTGTGTGTGTGTGTGTGTGCGAGTGTGAGCGTGTGTGTGCGTGTGTGTGAGCGTGTGTGCGTGCGTGCGTTTGCGTGCGCGAGAGTGTGTGTGAGTGTGTGCGAGTGTGTGTGTGCGAGTGTGTGTGTGCGCGTGTGAGTGTCTGTTTGTGTGTGTGCGTGCGTGCGTGCGAGTGTGGGTGTGTGTTTGTGGGCGTGTGTGAGTGTGTGTTTGTGTGTGCGTGTGTGAGCGTGTGAGCGTGTGTGTGTGTGTGTGTGTGAGCGTGTGTGCGTGCGTGCGTTTGCGTGCGTGTGCGAGAATGTGTGTGTGTGCATGCGAGTGTGTGTGTTTGTGTCTGTGTGTGTGAGTGTTTGTGTGTGCGAGTGTGAGTGTGTGTGTGCGAGTGTGTGTGTGTGTGTGTGCATTTGCGTGCGTGTGTGTGTTTTCTGACCTCGGACACGACTTCATGTGACATGAGTCTCTGAATGGCGGCGAGACACAGCTGGGTGATTTTGGGTTCTTTGGTTCCGCAGCCCATGAGGAACGGCTGGACCACCTCTGAACTGTTCTCCTTCAGCGCTGATGGCAAATCAACACAATAGAGCTTATGGGTCATACTTATAACACACACTACCTCAGCATCACGTGCTCTTACCTGCCAGGATGTCTGTATTTCTAGCAGCGATGGTTTTGATCTTGACGATGCCAGACTCTGCGGCCTAAAGACAGACAACAAACTCACGTGAGAATCTTTGTAGGAAAATATGGAAAGAAAATTGACGTTCAAAAAAGAAAAAGACATTCAAATGTGCTATGGCCAATAAACGATAAATGTCCGATGTTACAAATACTTCATTGAAAAAAAAAAAGGAAACACTTAAAACAATATGCTACAATACAATAAATGAAACCAAATGCATTTTCAAAGGAACATTACTAAAGCCTGTTGTATTTTTTTTAAAGAAATAAACAGTCCACAGTAATATAAACACCTTATTGTAAGAGAAAGTTTAAAATAAGAAATAAAAGTTACATTGTGAGAAATAAAAAATCTTATGTTCACAAAAATAAACAGGCTTGGAAACAGCCTTCTATAAAATTAAATATTATACATATTTTTAAATATTATTAAAACACTGATATTGGCTGATAACCATTATGGTGCTGATATACTGGTAACTAAATAAACTAAAACCTAATATAAATAGACTATATAAACATATTAAAGGGGAGTTCTAATGCTATTTCATGCATTCTGGCTTATTTACACTGTTAAAGAGTTGGATTCTCATGCTAAACATGGGCAAAGTTTAAAACAGATCAAGTAGACCGATAACCACCAATATTTTGAACCGATATGTATGTCTGGTGTAAAAATGAAAATTAATGTCAAAATTAAGAGCAACAAGGGCTCTGACAAAAATGTTCTTTAAATGCTTTTAAATTATTTTATCGGCAAATCGGTTTTGAAAGTGATCGATACCGATAACCATAAAAAAAGCTTAATATCGGCACCGATAATCGGTTGACCCCTATGCAATACTACTCTATAGGTACTCAAGATTAACATGAGATTGGCAGAAACTGTGTGTGTTATATCTGCTTAAAAAAAAAAAACTAATAAAAATGACAAAAACACACAGCAAACTTAATAAACATTTAACTAAAATTAATATTTACAAAAATAAAATCTTAAATTAAAAATATTAACAACTGTAATTGTATATTAATGATAATAAAATAACAAAAAAATTAATTTTATTACATGAAATAATACAAATATTTTTAAAATCTAATTAAAACACTGATATTGGCTTATAACCGTTACGGTGCCGATATACTAGCAACTAAAAAAACGAAACAAAAAAAAACCTATATAGTCATATTAAAAAAATATACAATAAAAATGACAAAAAGACAACAAAATTACTAAAACTTTAACTAAAATTTAAATGAAAATATAAAATATAAAAATAAAATCAACTTCAAAATATTATTCAAAAACTATAATAGTACATCAACGATACTAATTAATTAATGGTATATCAATGATAATAAAATAACAAAAAATAATTGTTATTAAAACACTGATTTTGGCTGATAACCATTATGGTACCGATATATCCCCAATAAAAGTTAAAAAAAAAAAAAAAAAAAAAAAAGTCACAACAAAAGTATTAATTTTCATATTTTCTGCAACTCATAAATTACTTTTCTACTTTTCATGATTTATTTAAATCCAGACGAATAAAATCAAGTCCTACATTAAAACCTGGATATTTAGTTTAATTCAGAAATGTCACATTACAGAAGTAAAACATGCTGTGGATGCAGTTTCACGTTGCCTTCAAACCAAAAGCGTTTCAGAAGTCAAACTCAAACACGCTTTTGGACGTGGACTCTAACCTCGGACGAACAAAGAAAGAAAACAACTCTAAAAACCCTTCGATGCAACTGTTAGTGTCCAGAATGGTGGTGTGTCAGTGCCGAGCGGTGCTGCCACTGAGATTCACATGCCACAATGACTCTTTTCTCTCATAACAGCAGGGAAAGCCTTCAGAAAATACACACAAACACACTGCGCTATCTGTTCGGCTGGCTGACCCCAGCTCTCCTCGTCCTCTCTAGACTCATCACGCACTCCGCAGAGATCCACGGGCTGTTAAAGACAGCGAGACGCTCGAATAAAACACACACACAGCTGTCTGTCCTCTCCGGAGGGTTTGACAGATCTGTGTCCTGAACTGATGAGGTGAAGTGTATGATGATTTCTCAGCTCGGGGTGAGAAAAGCAGCGTCTGATCTCTCATCTGAACGCTTTGATTTCAGCCTGTTGTTTTCCAGTTTATCTGCCATCAACTACAGGAATGATTTTATCTAAACGCAAAAAAAAAAAAAAAAAAGTTGAAAATGAACCTCAAAGATCCCATATTCTATATTTTTGTAGTATTCATTTATTTTTTCCTGAAGTCCACTATTTTGTCAAAGCTTCTTGCAACAAAAATAGTCATAATTTCATTTGTCCTTGCCATTGCTTTGGCAACTAGCTGTTTAGATCAGGGTTATTATTTTTAACTAAAATTAAAACTACAAATCATCACAATGTAAGATGGCTGCCTCCGTGGCGTGCTCCGCAGTTGTTTTTATGTTTTTGTTAGTTTGTCCTGTCTTTAGTTATATCCCTGCAATCAGTTTCACCAGAGACGAATTGCTGGACATCCGGAAGTACACACCACCCGATATTTCACCGGTTTTTGATTATTCTGATGTTTTGCAGATAGATGTTAAATATTAGTGCATTTTATATAGAAGTTTTTTTACACTTGATTCTTTTATTTGTGTTAATGATTAAAACTCATGAAAACTAAAATTAAGCATTTCTTATTTATGTTTATTTGCTGTTCTCTAACAGCCATTGTATAAAGCGAAAAGTAAAATGAAGGAAGTTTCTCTTTATCTCTCCAATCATTATTAAGCAACGGCCTAGTTCTCTCAAAATACAGTTTCCTTTCCAGTGAATGAGTTTTCTCTGGTAAACAAATGAATGCGACGCTACCAATCCAGAGGCCGTAAAAACATTCAGATGGAGAATTCAGAGCAGCCAAACCACGAAACCATGCTCCGCTCTCCGCCCTCAAACGAGTCAAACGCTAAGCAGACAGACTCTCTCTTTCAGTCCAGCACAGTTCAGTCTTAAAGGGGACCTATTATGCAAAATTCACTTTTGCATGGTGTTTGGACATAAATGTGTGTTGGCAGTGTGTGTACACAACCACCCTATAATGATAAAAATCCACCCACTCCTTTTTTTTAATCCCCATAAATCATAAGCAGTGTCTCCCAACTACCTGTTTTCCGAGTTGGTGCTAATGTGACGTCACATTAGCCACAGGCCCCGCCCACAAATGTTGACAGACACTGCCGTTTTAACATAGAACCGCCCTGAG